AGATAGCACCTTCCTTTAGCCCCCCTCCCCCCACTAGAGCCCTTATACTCTGATATCCCTGCTACTGTCTGCTATGTTGTCGGCACCCCCAGCCATTCCACACTACTTGTCCATCTGGTGAATCTAGTCAGCCTATCTAGAGGTCTTTGTTTTAGGAAGGTCAGCTGTTCTTCATCTAGCGGTAATCAGTTGTCTATAGTCCTTTGCATAAGATTGGGTTCTGCTGTTCATTTTCCCAGTACTATGCTGGGTTACTATCTGGGAATCCCTTTGGCCACCCTGGCCATCAACTCAAAAAAGAAGGTATCACTTGTCTGGCATTGTTGCTTGTTATGTAGCCTTTAGCTATACATACAGACTTTTATGAAATTATGTTGCCCCATTTAATCTTTTGTCATACTTTCCTTTTGGGTGTTTAAGGCCATGCAGTTGGTCCAGATAAAACTGATTTATTTTTACTCTTAAGGTCATTTGAGGATCTGTTCAACAGGGGTCACATGGGCTTGGGAGGAGCCTGTGATTCCTTTCTTTTACCAGTTCAGCCTATGTGAAGATAAGTCAAAGGTCCTGCTTGACCATGGTTGGCTTTGCTTGGAAGCATGGAGGAAATGAGTCCTCTAAGTTGACCCTCCTTTTTATAGACTGGACACTGGTTCAAGTCCATCTGGTGGGGTCTCCTCGGCCTCCTTGATCAAGAGGACAGGTGACCCACCACCATTATAGGACATTTTGCGAGATGCTCATAGTCCCCTGGAACTAGTCGACCTAGGAGGGCAAAAAGCAAAAAGTGTCCTTTATGTCCCTCTGACCAAATTATTATAGACCTCAAAGTATGTCTTTTAAACACCCAAGAAGGTTAGTTCCACCAGTTTGGTATTTTTAATTAGTGTGTGTCATGTAGATAAATCTTGGGCAAAGATCAGTTGTTCTCAGATAAACCTTACCTAGACATATATTTCTTGATCTGCTATGTATAATTTGTCAGTAGGTTGTAGGAGTAATGTGGTTCTCTCTGGTTTTCAAAACTCGCTAGGCATTTTTTATCTCTCGCATTGTCTCACCCCTCCATCATGGTTTTCCCACTTTAGGTGCCCCCAATTCCCCCTTTTCTCCCTTACTAATACCCTTCTCTCATGGTCCTACCTCTCTTGAGCTCCTTCTTTCCCTTTATCCCCTAGGTTCCTTGTATACTCTTCCCTCCCCCCTCCCTTAAACTAACCCAATTTTTATCCATATCTCCATTGTTAAGGCCTGTTTCCTATTGTTCTTCTCATTCAGGTTATTTCTTTTCCTTTACCTCCCTGTTTCCTTTCCATTATCCTGGTTCCTGTAGTTATGTCTGGTTGCATACTTATTTATCAGAGTCTGGTTCTAGGATCCACATATGAGGGAGAACATATGTCAATTTTTTTTTCTGAGTCTGTGTTATTTCTCCACACTGTTTTCCATAGGGGTTGAACCAGTTTGCGACCCCACCAGCAGTGGATGAGCATTCCCCTTTCCCCACATCCTCTCCAACATTTGGTATCATTTGTTCTCCTGATCTTAGACAGTTTGAGTGCGGTAAGATAAAAACTTAGTGGCTTTCCTTTCGTATTTCCGTCATCACTAATGATGACGAACACCTTTACGATGCTTCTTACCGATTTTAGTTACTTGTTTCGAAAACTCTCTGTTCCTCTCCTTAGTCCATCTTGGAATTGGGTTACTTCTTTTCTTTATTCTTTGA